AGCTAAAGCTAAGCTAAAGCTAAGCTAAAGCTAAGCTAAAGCTAAGCTAAGCTAAGCTAAAGCTAAGCTAAAGCTAAGCTAAGCTAAGCTAAGCTAAAGCTAAGCTAAGCTAAGCTAAGCTAAAGCTAAGCTAAGGCTAAGCTAACACTAAGCTAAAGCTAAGCTAAAGCAAAGCTAAGCTAAGCTAAAGCTAAGCTAAAGCTAAGCTAAGCTAAGCTAAAGCTAAGCTAAAGCTAAGCTAAAGCTAAGCTAAAGCTAAGCTAAAGCTAAGCTGAAGCTAAGCGAAAGCTAAGCTAAAGCTAAGCTAAGGCTAAGCTAAAGCTAAGATAAAGCTAAGCTAAAACTAAGCTGAAGCTACGCCGAAGCTAAGCTAAATCTAAGCTAAAGCTAAGCTAAAGCTAAGCTAAAGCTAAGCGAAAGCTAAGCGAAAGCTAAAGCTAAGCTAAAGCAAAGCTAAAGCTAAGCTAAGGCTAAGCTAAAGCTAAGCTGAAGCTAAGCTAAAGCTAAGCTAAAGCTAAGCTAAAGCTAAGCTAAGCTAAAGCTGAGCTAAAGCTAAGCTAAAGCTAAGCTAACACTAAGCTAAAGCTAAGCTAACACTAAGCTGAAGCTAAGCTAAATCTAAGCTAAAGCTAAGCGAAAGCTAAGCTAAAGCTAAGCTAACACTAAGCTATGCTAAGCTAAAGCTAAGCTAAAGCTAAGCTAAAGCTAAGCTAAAGCTAAGCTAAAGCTAAGCTAAGGTTAAGCTAACACTAAGCTAAAGCTAAGCTAAAGCTAAAAGCTAAGCTAAAGCTAAAGCTAAGCTAACGCTAAGCTAACTAACTAAGCTAAGCTAAAGCTAAGCTAAAGCTAAGCTAAAGCTAAGCTAAAGCTAAGCTAAAGCTAAGCTAAAGCTAAGCTAAAGCTAAGCTAAAGCTAAAGCTAAAGCTAAGGCTGAAGCTCCCAGGGGACTGGGGGAACCGCGGGGCGGGGACTGGGGGAACCGCCCGGGGCGGTTTCCATTGCCCGGCCCCTTTAGCTAACAGAGTAAGAACCCTTCTAGGCAGAGCCTAGGTAGGGAAATATGAGAGAGCGGATCTTGAAAAACTCGGGAAACGTTTCATTATTCACCTTAGCATCTTGCGGGTGATGATTTTCGGGTAGCTTATTATTCCCAGCCCTCCTATGGTTGGGTACTCGTTTTGAATAGAGCAGTGTGGTCGCCCCGTTCTTCTTCTCCTCCCCCCTCCTCCCCTCCTCCTCTCCTGTTTCCTGTGTTCCCCTCTCCTCTTCTCTCGTGCCGTCGGGCTGCGATCTGCGCAACTGTCGCCACTTTCGTGGGCTCCTGGGAGGCCCAGCAGAGGTGGAACCCACGCGGACCACCTCGAGACCTCGCGGTGCCCTGGGGGCTGCGATCTGCGCAACTGTCGCCACTTTCGTGGGCTTCTGGGAGGCCCAGCGGAGGTGGGTCCCACGCGGACCACCTCGAGACCTCGCGGTGCCCTGGGGGCTGCGATCTGCGCAACCGTCGCCACCTTCGCGGGCTCCTGGGAGGCCCAGCAGCTTTCCAATGGTTGAGCACTGCAGGTAATTACAAGTTCCAAGAGGTTGAATCCAGATATTAAACCCTGCTTTGACTCGTGACTGCACACTTCTTCGGGGCGTGCCCTCTGGTCGGGCGTTGGCAGAACTGGGTTTAGTGGAACCTGGTTTCGTGATTTGTACCGGGGGCGCCCCCCTGTCCCATTTCCACCAACCGGAACTGCCGTCACCCGAAAAACACCAGTTACGGCAAACCTGGTTCAGTGAATCTGACCAATGGAGGGACCCCAAGGGCCCTACCGCTAACCGGGTCCCCTTACCCAGGGTCCTGGCTACACCCGATCCGGGGCCGCTGCGGGATCACCCCCGTGGCCTCCGCTCCGCGCCCCGAGGCCATCCCGGCCAGCTCAGGCCCGCCCGCGAGCCCGCGCGGGCCGCGGCCCTCCGCGCCCGCGCGGGCCTCCTCGTGGAGCAGGGGCCGACCGCCCCGGCATCCCCTGTAGTCCTATCACGAAGTGTTCTTAGAACCCACCAGTGTTCTAAGAACCACAACTACTGTTCTTAGAACATGCGCCCGACGTGCCAAAACAGGAAACAGGCTCCGCCAGGAATGCTCCAAGAACATTTTCTTCGTGGGAGCCACAAGAGGTTCTCGGAGCACTGCTTGGCAGGGCTATGGGCGAGCCGGGACGCTTCGCCACTGCTCGACCTCCGCGCTCGCCCATTGCCGGCGACCGCGGCACGCGGCCTGCGGACCACAGACGGCTGCGGACGGCAGCGAAGGCTGCGGCGGTCGGCCTCTGCGGGCGCCTGCCCCTCTCGCTCTCCCGCCGAGGAGGGCGCAGGGAAGGGGCAGGGAGGGGAAGGAGTCCTCCTCCTCCTCCTCCTCCTCCTCCTCCTCCTCCTCCTCCTCCTCCTCCTCCTCCCCTCCTCCTCCTCCTCCCTCCTCCTCCTCCTCCTCCTCCTCCTCCTCCTCCCCTCCTCCTCCTCCTCCTCCTCCTCCTCCTCCTCCTCCTCCTCCTCCTCCTCCTCTCCCTCCTCCTCCTCCTCCTCCTCCTCCTCCTCCTCGATGGAGGGAGGGGAGAGCAAGTGGTGGAGGGAGGGCAGGGAGGGGCGGGAGGCGGTGGAAGGAGGAGCAGGGGGAGCAGGCGGAACAGGAGGAGCAGGAGGAGCAGGAGGAGCAGGAGGAGCAGGAGAGGGCAGGCAGGGAGACAAGAAGGACGGAAGGGATGGAGGGAAGAACAAGGAGATCGGGGGACACAGGCACCCCTCGGACCCAACTCTGTTCAGACCTGGGCTCGCATCGGAGCCAGGCTCGCATCGGACCCAAGGTCGCTTCGAACCCGGCTCCCTGCGGGCCCAGCCGGCTTCGGACCCAGCTCGCTTCGCACCAAGCTCGCTTCGGACCCAGCTCCTGGCGGACCCAGCTCTCTTCGGACCCAATTTCTTTCGGCCCCGACGCCACTGTGCGGAACTCCCTGGGCCCCAAACCGGTAGAGTCCGAAGCCGGCCGGGTCCACGACGACCACAAAAACGACGATGACGGTACACGAGGACGACGACTACAAACGCGAGGACGACGACTACGACGAGGACAACAGTGGTTACAAAAACGACACCTACAACCACGACGATCACTACAACGATGACGAACATAACTACGACCTCACGTGCGACGAAAACTGCCTTTGACGACGACGACGACGCAGGAACAAAGACAAAAGCGCCAGCCCTAACGATGGAAACGACGGCGCTGACGATGACGACAACGAAGGCGACCATCTTGCGAACACGTAATCTACCAAGCTGCGTTGCCCTTCGCTTGCTTCTGCCTCTGCCCTGTACCCACCCACGAAATCTATGAACCAACCTCCTTCCAAGGGGGTTCGTTTCCTACCGGCTCCTGGGAGCAGCATTCCGCATCGCACTCTGTGTGCGCAGCGCGCCGGCATGGCCGTCCTGCGAGCTGGCGCGCCCGCGGGCGTTCCTGAGATGTTGGGTCTCCAGGGCGTCTCGGAATGGCACGTGAAGAGGTATCGAGCGGCAGCCCTTGTCGTCTTGTCTGGGCTTTCGCGCAAAATTTGAAGAGTTACGAAAACATCTAGCACCACTCCCGAGTGGGAGAATGCAGACGACCAGGGCGTCTCGGAGAACATGCCGACAAGAGCAGTTGTCGCCGCCGTTGGGCCTCCAACATCTTGGCCCAATAGTGAGGACATGTTCATCGAGAGCGCCGCTCATGAGTTTGGGCGCCATCTCTGGCCAGGGCATCTCGGAGTAATCCCACCAGCCCTCTGGGCGTCGGTGGTTTAGAGTGTTTCCTCTTCCACCCCTCCTTCTTGCCCTTCGGGGAGGGGTTTACCCCTCCCCCTACCCCCTCCCCTGGACCTGGAGGGGGGGGGGGTCGCGAGTCGTCGGAGCGTCCAAAACGGCCTCGGCGAGGAATCCAAAATCATTGGTTTTACTAGGGTTTTGGCCCCAGTTTGGCCTTCTGAGGGGGCGGCTCTAATCCGTACCCCCCCCTTCTTTGATCGATCTCCTCCGAGATGGCCCCAAGAGCGCCGCTCCCAAGGCTCCCAAGGGTGCCCCAAGAGGGCTCCAAGAGGTCGCCAGGAGGCCCCAAGAGGCCCCCAAGAGGCCCCCAGGATGCCCCCAAGAGACCTCCAAGAGACCTCCAAGAGGCGCCAAGAGGCCCCCCAGAGGCACCCAAGACGCTCCAAGAGGCCTCGGCGACAATACCAAAATCGCTGATTTTACTCAGGTTTGGGCCACATGTTGGCCTCCTGGGAGGGGGCACTGCTTCTCGTCTCTTGGAGTCTTTTGAAGGCCACTTGGTGTCTCTTCGGATCTCCTTGGGGACTCCAAGAGCGCCTGGGAGAGCCAAAGATGATCTCCAAGATGGCTCAAGATATCCCAAGATGCCTCAAGATGGTGCCCACGATGCTCCAAGAGGCCCCAAGACCGCTCCAAGACGGCTCTAAGTGGCCAAAGAGCTCCCCTGGGAGGCCCCGAAGGCGCTTAAATCCTCCCCAAACCTTAAGAAAATCTATGTTTGGGCCTTTCTCGCCGAGGCCTCCAGATGGCTTCAAGATGGCCCAAGAGGGCTCCAAGAGCGCTCCCAAGGCTCCCAAGATCGCTTCAAGACGGCCCCAAGAGGCGTCCAGGAGGCCCCAGGGGGCCCCAACAGGCGCCCAAGAAGCCTCCAAGAGGCCCCCAAGAGACCCCCAAGAGGCCCCAAGAAGCTCTCCGAGGCACCCAAGACGCTCTACGAGGCGTCTGGGACCGCCAAGAGGCCCCCAAGACGCTCCAAGAAGCCTCCACTGGGGGACCCTTCCTCTGTGTGCTGCCCGCTTCCCCGATCAAGGCAATTCCTCTGGACATCGTTTCTGGATGGGCTGGTGGGAGTTCGCGAAGCGCCAACAATCTGTGCGAACATCGAGCGGAAGCCGCTGTCGTCGCAATTTGGCCTGCAATAACTTGGCTGAGCTGTAAAGATGCGTCGCGCGAGAGTGCTGTTCCTGAGTTTGGGGCCCTCTCTGGTCAGGGCGTCTTGGCGTAAATTGCAAACAAGTATTGAGCGGGAGACGTTGCCGTCGCAGTTGGGCCTCCAGCATCTTGACCGAATTGCGAGGAGGTGTCCAGCGAGAGCGCATCTCCTGAGTTCGGGACCCTCTTTGGCAGGGGTGTCTCGGAGTACACTGTGAGGAAAGATCGAGCGGGGGCCATGATCGTTGTAGTTGGGCCTTCGCCATCTTGGCTCAATTGCGAGAGTGTCGAGCGAGAGTGCTGTTCCTGAGTTTGGGGCCCTCTCTGATGGGCTGAGCCGTTTCCTTCCCAGGTTCCCCAAGTGAACACACACTGAACCAAAAGCCTGCACGCAGTGAGGCGATTGAGCAGAACCGAGCGTCGTCAGCCTGCGTCTGACCGACCGACCTTGCTCCCCATCTCCCAGCCACCCTCCCTCCTCCCCGCTCACCATGCCATCATGGAGTCCTGCACCCTACAAGCGGGATCTTGCAGCATCACGCTCTGCCCTACACAGGGAAACGGCTGCAGATAACGCCAGCTCGTAGCTCGGCGGCAGGTGGTCCAGCAGCAGCCGCTTCCCTCCGCCCAGGTCGACAGCAGGGCCCAGAGCTATCTGCTGTACACCCTGCGAAATGCTTGAGAAATCATGGGTTCAGAAATTCATAGTCTCAGAATTTGAACAAAAACCCAGAACTTCTATATTGAAATCTTGGGATTTACATTGAAACGTTAAGAGTAGTCGAGACTCTGGCCGAAAACTTAAGTTTTCTGAAGCATCGCCTAGGGTGTACGTGGCGAGGTTCTCCCTCCCCCTGGCTCTCCCCCATCATGCCATCTCCCCTCCGCCTGGCCAGAGGCGGGGAGGAGGCGAACCTCACCGCACAAACTTCTGGGCCCCACGGATGGGCCGCGCCAGGTCGTCGGGCTCCAGCCGCGTGACCGAACCATTCGCCCGGATCAGAAAGCACTGCCCGGCGGGGTAGAGCTTCCTGCGCTGCCAGTCGTCGCCCGGCTGCCGGTGCCACTCGTCCGAGGGCGGCCGCGCGTCCGCAGGTGGCCGCGGGGAGGCCTGTTCTGGCTGGGCGGCCCTGTTGACGCCCGCGCCTGCTCTCGACGCGCCAGCTGCGGCGACCGCTCGCGCGTGCAGCTCGAGCACGTGCCCGAGACTCAGCCGCGGCACGACGTCTTCCCCGTGGGAGAAGGTGTACATGTTCAGGCCCAACGACTGCGCCGTGTCCAGCGAGCACACGCCAGGGGAACCGAACGAGAAACACCGTACCTCTGGCGCACTACCCGCCTGTGGCTCGCTCCCCTCCTCGAGCTCGAGGAGCTCCAAGAACAGCAAAGTCAAGTAGGTGGCAACACCGCCTCCGAGACTGTGCCCTGTAAATGTTACAGTGTCTACATCATCAGCCAGCTCTTCAAGCGATGGCACCACTGAGCGGAGCACTCCGCAGGCGCTCTGGAAGATGCTCCTGTGGCCCTTGCCGCCCACGAACAAGTCGACCTCGTCTGCTCCAAGATCGGTGACGACGTCCTCAACACACAAGGTACCCCGGATGGCTACGATGGCCTCACGGCGGCTCGTATCATGAATGACGTAATGCGCTGGTGTCAACCAGGTGGCCTTGGAGCGTACGTGCACCACCCGCACGTGCTCGGGGTCCAGCTTCGCGTATGTGCACATCATTCTAGTGGGGTCGCCCCCGAAGAGGGTGGTGGGCCGCCGCCCACGGACGAGCTCGTGCAGCAGCTTCGGGCCGTATGCCGCCTTGCAGATGCGGATGCAGCGCAGCGCGTCCTCCAGCAACTCGCCCATCGCGGGGTCGGCAATCTCCCCGGGCTGCTCCTGCAGGGGCCGCGCGGCAGCGTCCTGCGAGGCGACGAGCTTCAGGCCGGCCAGCACCTTGGGGAGCGTCTCCGGCAGTGCCTCGGCGAAGAAGCGCTCCATCATCTCCTTGACGGGCAGCGCGGCGGCGGCGATGCGCCTGACGGGCGCGGCGTGCTCTGGCGCAGGCGCTTCGCCGCGGATCGGTGCGGGCGACAGGGCGGGCATGCGCTCCAGGGCAACGCGCCAGCGGGGAGGCCCCTCGCGCCCCGCCTCGTCGCCGGGAGGGCCGTGCGCGGCGTCCACGTCTCCACTGTGCACGGCGGCGGCGGCGGCCGGGGTCACCCTGCGACGCTTCGTCGCGGCAGCGGCGGCAACCGCAGCCGCTGCCCTCGTCAGCGGCAAGCCGATCGGAGCGATGCGGGCTGCCATGGCGACCAGCTGCCCGAGTCCGTGGCGCGAAGTGTCTCGCTGGCGACGCTGTCATCGAGAGTGCGCCCAGGCTGCCCGAGCCAAAACGGCTATAGTCAGCGGTGGACAGATATGACAGTCAGCGGGCTCTTTGCCGGCGTCGGTATGGGCATGCGGGACGCTTGCGGAAGGCAAAGCGAAGCTACAAAAGGGGAGCCCAAAGGAGGGCGCTGAAGGGAAGCGGACGGTCGAGGGAAGCTGGAATGGATGCTTGGATGGCGGGCCGCACGACACGCGCCACACAAGCACTGCGATGATGCTGGGAACTGCACGCTATGAGCGCTGCGCAAGGAGTCGTTTGAAAAGGACCCCAGAGACTCGCAAGGGTGGAATTCATCTGCCACTTTGGGGCGAGCACTGGAATCTGTTCACACCCTGGACTTGACGCGTCCCAGGGCCACGCTCTCGGAGAAGCATTCCTGATCCAACTCCCCTGACCGACAAGCAAGCCAATGAGACGACGTTTGCTCTATCGCGGGGATCTAGAACATCCACGCAGAAACGACCCGTCGAATCGAGTCGAGGACCCTACCAGCCGACTCTTACGTATGCCTGGCAGCCACTGCTCGATAGCTAGTGTACCGCCCAAGGAAAGAATGACGAGGAAGACGAGGATGAAGATATCGAAGATGATGTGGAAGCTGGCCGTGTCCAAGCCATCCGGTCAAGAAGTGTTTCTTAGCGTGTCGCGACGGTGGCCGCGGCGACACGCTATGTCTGGCGAGCTGATAGCGTGTCGCGCCGCTCCGCGGGCGGGAGGCTGGAAAAAATTCGAGACGCTGACGCTTGGTGACTGGGACGTGGATAGCGTGTCGCGCCGAAGCGTGGTGGGCCAGAACCGGCGGCGCGACACCTATTTGTTTCGTCGCGGACCTGGCGAGCGCGCGGGTCGGTCGAGTGGCCCTTGGGCGCTGAGCGGCCAATGGAGCCCGACCACGAAGGCGGGGCAAAAGTAAAGGGAGGGCGACAGCAACTGGCGGCGCGACACGATGGGCAAGAGCGCCTGGCCGCAGGCCCGTCGGCCCAACGGGCGCGACCCAGGCGCCTCGAAATGTGGCTTCGCGCCGCCGACCCGCGGCGCAGGGCACCGCCTGCGCAGCTCCTCGCGACCACGGCACCGACGCCGCTCCCGCTCCTGCTCCGGGCACTGCTCGCGCTCCTCCTCCTCCTGGTGATTCTCCTCCTCGTCCTCCTCCTCCTCCTCCTCCTCCTCCTCCTCCTCCTCCTCCTCCTCCTCCTCCTCCTCCTCCTGCTCTTTACCCTTCTCAGCCTTCATGGCTGTGGTGGGATCGGGTCTGCGGGTAGTCGCGCGCGGTGCCACTGCGCCGATGGTGGTCCCCACGAGGAGGGGCCCCACAGGGACGGACCACACAGGGCCCCCGCAGTCGTGACCCCTGCAGGCAGGATCACGACTCAGAGGCTCCTCAGAGGCCAGGGCGGGCTCTGCGCAACGCCACGCACTGCCACTGCGCAGAAAACTCATGGGGAGGCCACGAGAAACTTCTGGGAAGCCATGGGAGGCCCTGGGAGGCCAGGAGGATTCCAGCCGCCACGCGTGAGCGCGGAAGGCGGTGCAGCAGGCGGCGCACGTCGTCACGCAGTCGGAAGCCCCGGAGGGCTCCTGGGGAGGTTCCCAGGACGTTCCTGGCCAGACGGGAGGCCTGGCTGTCACTGACGCGCCGGCCGAGGCTCCTTGAGGAGGCTTCTGAAATCCCAGCGCCTTTGGTGGAGATCTGGGGATCCTTCTAAGGGCCCTGGACTTGGGAACGTCCCCGGATTGGCTTCGAAGCCACTGAAGGCTCCTGCGGGATTGTCCCAAACCTTCGAGGCCAGGGAGAACACTATTGGAGTCCTCATGCAAAACCGCCCCTGTGGCGGCGATTTCCTACCAGAGAAACCTGTGGCACCACATCGTGGGAAACGAGATCACACAACACCTGCCAGCACCAACCCACCGCTGCGGGGGGTAGCGCGCGCCAGCGTGTTTGCAATAGGTTGCAAAATGGAACCGCCCCTCCCCTGCACTCCTCCTCCGCCTCCTCCCCCGCCTCCTCCCCGGCCCTCCTCCTCCTCCTACTCGGCCTCCACATTATACTCCTCCTCCTCCTCCTCCTCCTCCTCCTCCTCCTCCTCGTCCTCCTCGTCCTCCTCCTCTTCCTCCTCCTCCTCACCTCCTACCTCCTCCTCCTCCTCCTCCTCCTCGCTCCTCCTCCTCCTCCTCCTCTCCTGCTCTTTCCTCCTCCTCCTCCGCCCCTCCTCCTCCTCCCCTCTCCTTCCTCCTCCTCCTCCTCGTCCTCCCCTCCTCCTCCTGTTCTTTTTCCTCCTCCTTTTCCTCCTCCTTCCCCTCCTGTTTTTTCCTGCTCCTCCTCCTCGTCCTCCTCCTCGTCGCTCCTCCTCCTCCTTCTTCTTCCTCCTCCTCCCTACCTTGTCCTCCTCCTCCTCTTCCTCCTATTTTCTGGCCATTGTCCTCTCGTTCGGCGTATCCACCCCCGTCATTTTTGCCATCCTCTTCTCCTCCTCCTTCCTCCTCCTCCTGCCTCCGTCCTCCTCCTCCTCCTTCTTCCACCTCCTCCTCCTCAACGTCCTCCGCCCCCTTTCCCTTTTCCTTTTCCTGTTCCTCCTCCTTCTCTTCCTCCTCCTCCTCCTCCTCATCCTCCTCCTCCATCTCATCATCAACATCAACAGCAACAACAACAACAACAACAACAACAACAACAACAACAACAACAACAATTACTAGCACGTGGGGACACTCCGTTCTCACCAGTGCCAGGGTTTTCATACGACGCCCGCCAATACCCCCACTTTGTGGGGGGGCCGGTTCAAGCTCTACCACATTTCCAAACGACTCTTCGCCACCACCCACACCCAGCTTCCCGCCCTATGACGTTCGGACACTTCACTTCGTGGCCTGCGGACGACCGTGGCTACTACACTGGCGCATGGGTACAATGACTTGTGTGACTACGGGTAGAAATTTTGAAAATTCGTACAGATGTTTTTCGAGGACCGACGGTGCGATTCGTATGATTTTATGTTGCGCGGTGCTAAAATTCTTAAGAAACCCAATGGTTTTTGAAGATTTCGGCGTGCGCGCGCGAAGAAAAAACGAATGTGTCCCGCATGGTATTATTTGACAGGGATGATGGCCCTGGCAGGTGCGCAACCGTTGTTGGCAGAAGTTCGAAAAAGTTGCTCGCAAAAGCCCGTTTGACAGAAATGTTTAAAAAGTGTTGGGTTTCCTACGAATCCGCAAGAGCGCGCGGGATGAAATTTTGACATTTTTTTTTGAAAAACCATTGTTGTTTTGATGTTTTTATGTTAAAATCGCTACGAACACTAAGGTTTTGGAAGGATTTCGTCTTGCGCGCGCGAGTGTGCACTTCGTGTCATTTTTTGCAAAGGATTCTTGAAGCTTGGTTATGTTAGAACAAGACATGTCATTTTATATTGTTTTTTGACAGGGAAAGCGGGCGTCAACAAACAACCGGATCCGGACTCCCCCGTTTTGCCTGAGACTTCCTCACGAAAATGATGAAAATGTGGCTGCGGCCTAGGCGCGGCGAGGGGGGCGTGCACCAGGGGGCCCAACAATAATTATTATTTAGAAGTAATAATATTCAACAACAACAACAACAACAACAACAACAACAACAACAACAACAACAACAACAACAACAACAACAACAACAACAACAACAAAAAAACAAAAACAACATAGTTTCCTCTTTTCCTTTTCTTTCATTTCCTCCTCCTCCTCCTCCTCGGCCTCCTCCTCCTCCTCCACGTGCTCCTCCTTCCCGCTTTCCTCGTCCTCAATATCATCCTCCTCCTCCTCCTCCTCGTCCTCCTCCTCCTCCTCTTTCTCCCCCTCTTTTCCTCCTCATCCTTCTCCTCCTCCTCCTCCTCCTCCTCGTCCTCCTCTTCCTCCTCCTCCTCCTCCTCCTGTTCCTCCTCCTCCTCCTCGTCCTCCCCCTCCTCCTCCTCCTCCTTTCTTTCCTCCTCCTTTTCCTCCTCCTTCTCCTCCTGTTTTTCCTGCTCCTCGTCCTCGTCCTCCTCCTCCTCCTCCTCCTCCTCCTCCTCCTCCTCCTCCTCCTCCTCCTCCTCCTCCTCCTCCGCCCTCCTCCTCCTCCGCCCCTCATCCTCCTCCTCCTCGTCCTCCTCCTCTCTTTCCTCCTCCTTCCCGCTTTCCTCGTCCTCAATATCCTTCCTCCTCCTCCTCCTCCTCCTCCTCCTCCTCCTCCTCCTCCACCTCCTCCTCCTCGTCCTCCTCCTCCTCCCCCTCTTTTCCTCCTCTCCTTCCCTCCTCCCCTCCTCCTCCTCCTCCTCCTCCTCCTCCTCCTCCTCCTCCTCTTCCTCCTCCGCCGCCCCCTCCTCCTCCTCCTCCTCCTTTCTTTCCTCCTCCTCCTCCTCCTCCTCCTCCTCCTCCTCCTCGTCCTCCTCCTATATTTCCTCCTCCTCCCCTTTGTGGAATGCACTGTAGTAGCTGTATGTAATACAGGGAGACACGATGTGCAAATGGGGGAAGCCGTGCTGAGTGAGAGAGAGAGAGCACGTTCTCTTTCCATTCTACGGATGATCGCGCACGCCCGCTGCCAGCGCGCCACTGAGAGCCCTCCGATCCGACGCGGCCGCGGGGCGGGGAGGTGAGAGAGAATCGCTGAAAGTGGAGAGGCTGAACTATACATAACCACCACAGCGCTGACCTCGGTTATGTCTAATATCGGGTAACCAGTCCCAGACGGCGAGTCCACGATCGGCCTCCGGACGTCCGCGCCATTGCCCATGTCCAAGCTCGCGACATCCTTGATGAGGAGGAGGTCAATGCCCGCGTCGCGAAGAGCTCCTCGCGACATCAGGCCCGGGCAGTCGCGGTCGGTGTAGGCGATGACCAACTTGCCCATGCTGGCGCCGTAGATGCCAATCGGGTAGACGAAAAACTCCGTCGCGTACACCACGTCGCCGTCGCCGAACTTGACGGACTCGCGGATCTCGCGCCGCTGCGGCTTCAACCCACGGTCCTAGAAAGCTTGAGCCACGCGGGCATGCCAC